ATCTATCTATCTATCTATCTATCTATCTATCTATCTATCTATCTATCTATCTATCTATCTATCTATCTATCTAACATTTGTATAGTTTACTGCAATGTTGATTTGCATAATTCGTAACCCCAAAGGCTTTTTTTTTCTTGATACATTTTGCTTCCTTTTAATTTTTATCTGGAAGCTGCCCAGAGCTCCTATAGAGTCAGGCGCTTTACAAGCATTTACAGGGTAAATTAGTGATCTATAATCAAAATTTACTGTGGGAGATATGAATGGAGAAAAATCAGAAAAAAATCTAATAAAGTAATTGAATGATCAAAGCACTGGACTAAAGATCAAGGCTCCATGTAGCTAAACAAGAAAAAAAATCCATACATTTTCCAGAAAAGGGCTGGTACAGAAGCAATCTAAAGCCTGCTTTTTGCATTCTAAGTGTCCTCTTAGGATTCATACTCCTTTCATTGTAAGATTTACAGATGTCACTGAGAAAATGACAAGGTAAACTGAATTCCAAAGGGTGGCACCCAGTTGGGAAAGGTTGAATTAAGGATACAAAGTGAATCTGAGCTTCATCCAATAAAGCCATGTGTTCAGGATAACTCCTCCCATTTAGGTAGCAGCACAATGGCTTAGCAGTTAAAGACACTGGGTTGTCAGCTGGAAAGCTGGCAGCCCACGTTCGAGACCCAAACTCCATGTGACGGGGTGAGCTCCTGTCCTCATCTCAGCTTCTGCCAACCTAGCAGTTTGAAAACATGCAAATGCAAGTAGAAAAATAGGTACCATGTCCATGAGAAGGTAAGAGCATTCCTTGACATCATGCTGGGCACATGACCATGGAAATGTCTTTGTACAGTGCTGGCTCAATGGCCTTGAAATGGAGATGTGCATGCCCCCTATAGTTAGCAACAACTAGCAGAGAAAAACCAACATGGATTCCTTTACCTTTATTTACCTCCCATTTAGTTACAGTCAATAAATGTCTTGTGATTGACTGAGATTCCAATTTAGAATATCATTGAGAAAATTGTTAAAAATAGCAGCTTTAAAGTCTATAATAGGTACTATATTTATTTGGGACACCAAAATAACACACAAGAATGTGTAGCATCAGTTAAGATACTATAATAGCAAGCCGCAGCAGAAAAGTTATAAAATTAAGTCAAGTATGTCAGTTGTAGAGTTTACAGCTAGTTATTTCAAGAGGGAGATTAATGCATTCTACCTGCAATTGGTATGAAGTATGCAGTACAAGTTGACATTTTTAACTCGGAGATAAAGGATAATGATTGATATCCCTGGTGATTGAAGAGCTGTGGTGGTGCAGTGGTGAGAATGCAGTAACGCAGGCTAATTCATGACTCACTGCCAGAAGTTTGATTCTGACCAGCTCATGGTTGACTCAGCCTTTCATCCTTCTGAGGTTGGTAAAATGAGGATCCAGATTGGTGGGTGAGTAATATGCTGACCGTCAGCATTGCAAGGAATGCACCCATTATAAATTGCTTAGAGAGGACTGTAAAGCATTATGAAATGGTATAGAGCAGGGGTGTCCAACCTTGGCAACTTTAAGCCTGGAGGACTTCAACTCCCAAAATTCCCCAGCCAGCTGGCTGGGGAATTCTGGGAGTTGAAGTCCACCAGGCTTAAAGTTGCCAAGGTTGGAGACCCCTGGTATAGAGGTCTAAGTGCTATTGCTATTCATTCCACTTCTAAAATACAAAACCTGTAGATATCTTAGTCTAATTCCTGCTATGGGTAAAGTAGGCAAATTCCTATCTTGAAAAGGATGAAAAGTAAGAATTTCTTTGTAATTAAAAACACACTTAGGGAAGGTAGATGAATGTTATGCCTGATATGCCTCCAAAATACTGTAGATGATGACCATGGCAAAGCCCAAAGGACTGACAAGAAAACTGCTTCTATGGAGCCTCTCTAGATGAGAAGAGGATGAGATTACCCATATGCGTTCTGGATGGCTGACCCCCCACAAGAAGACTGCCAGAAGAAAAAAGAAAAAGGAAATTATGAGGGAATAATAAGGATTAGGATAGAAACTGATCTCTTACCTGCCATGATATCCTCCATGACTGTGACAACATAGGAAGGTTTGCTAAATGTGGGTGGATTGTCATTTTCATCCTACAAAGATAAAAAGAAAATAAAAAATGTTTCTCACAGAGTTAACTTTAAAAAAGAATTGGGACATACCAGAGAACACAAGGAGATGAGAATATATGCTAACACAATTTTTCAGAATGTACTGGAATTCTGTGTTTTTTTTAAAAAAGTTTTGGAAGAATGTAAAATATGATATAATCTCTAATTAAGTTTTAGCATGTTCGATGCAACTATCTCCCCCCAGTCTTGAATAATATCATTACACCCACAAAAAGAAGCCTAGACCACTTTTTTTACTCATATATCTCAGCAATGGTAGTCCCAAATTAGATCCTTTACTTACAAACAAGAATTTGCAGTTTGTTATACCAGCAGGAGATCCCAGTTTAAAAATAACTTCTGCAATACATTCACTGCCTTTTAAAAGCTGAGCTGTCCAAATGCAACTCAGCATTCACATTCAGCATTGCTATCTGTTAGAAAAGGTGCTCCTCGTGTATTATTTATTATTGTGCTTTCTGTTTCCCACCATTTCAGTACCTTAAATAGTGTTTATAGAACTATTAAAATAGTATATAAAAGTACGAAAGTGCAATTACAAGTTAAAACATTATACCATATTGATTAAAAACAAGCTGCCCAGGGAGATTTTGTAAAGATTATATGTAGATTATATGTGTTTGAATATTAGTAGCTTGGTGTGATGACCCGTGGCATGGCACAAAAGCAACAAAGTCACAAAAGGAGGCAAAATCCCTTTAATACCTCCAACTGGACTGACTCCCAGTGTCCTGTTATCATCGGCTGGGGAAAAAACTCTCCCAAGAACAGTTTTTAAAGGGAAGAAATTCAGTTTGAATCCAAAGTCCATATAAATTATAAATAAAAACCAACACAAACTATGCTGCAGCAATTAACGAGACAGGGCAGGATAAGAAATTGAAAACTTCAAAAGATAACAAAACACATACAGTTGGGAGGACATCAGAACCCAGATAAGTCTTTGACAAACCAAAATAATTCACACTTTGCTTCCAGAAAGGTGCTGTGCGCAAATGCCCCTTTTAAAATCCTGTTTTCCCAGCTGCAGCTAATGAAGGGAATCAGGGCCCTTTTCTCCCCCGTAACCCACGTAACTCACGTTGCTCCCTTCTCCGTTCCTCCCTGCGTGCCCAAGGATGAAGAGGGGGTGGGCTTGGGTCTTCCTCTGAATGCCCAGCTAGACTGTGCCCTTCCCCAGTTTCCTCCACAGCCACAGGAGCCACACTCCCACTCCCTGTCAGCTGCTCAATCTCCCCCTCGGAATCAGATTCCAACAGGGGCATGACACTCGGTTTGGTAGTTGGGCTGTTGGTTTGACTAATTTGCATCTCTTAAAAAGGTATTTAAAGACCTGTGTTCTGATAGACGAGCACAATTCAAAAGGCACAGACGATGTCTCCTTGAACGGTGAGGAAACATTTGCAACCAAATTGCCAGACTCGGACCTCACGGCCTAATCTAGATTGCAAGATGAAATTGCAAGATGAAGTTGCAAGATTCAACTTTCACAGTTTCACAGCATTATTCTAATTTTAAAAGTGAATACAGGTAATCCTTGACTTATGACCAGTTGCTCAGATTTATGACAGCCTTGGAAGGGGTGCTTTATGCTTTATAAAGCATTTCTGGCTCTCACAAAATGTTGTGCTGCCCCCTAGCCTGGTCACAGGCCTGTATTTTGTGTGCTTGGCAACCAGTTTATATTTGCCGTGTTCCCACGGTCACATGATTGCAATTTGCAATGTTTTTTTCTGGTTTCTGGTGGTTTTGTTGTCAGTTTCTGGCAAAAATATATTTATGACTGTGTGATTCACTTAACAACCACCATAAAAACAACTGGCAAATCAGGTCCAGGCACATGGATACCTTAACTAATGACTGTCATGATTTACAACCAAAATTCCGGCCTCAATTGATGTTGTAAGTCGGGGACTACCTTGGATATCCTCCTCTAGCTGAAATGGGAGCAAGTACAGGTAGTCCTCAAGTTATGGCCACAACAGAATTTCTGTTGCTAAGTGAGACCATTGTTAATTGAGTTTTGCCCCATTTTTCAGCCTTTCTTGCCACAGTTTTTAAATGAATCACTTCAGTTGTTAAATTAGTAACATGGTTGTTAAATAAATCTGGCTTCTCCATTGACTTTTGAGTGTCAGGTCACAAAAGGTGACCCCAAGGCCCCAAGACACTGCAATGGTCATATATATGAGCCAGTTGCCAAGTATCCAAATTTTGATCACGTGACCACAGAGATGCTGCAATGGTCGTAAGTGCGAAAAACAGTCATAAGTCACTTATGGAAAGAAATTATTTAAACTCCCTGCAAACTAAACACAATGGACCCAAATTTGTTGTGGTGGATAAAGCTGCCAACAAACAAACAAAAACAAATTAAGTTTGAAAATGAGCTGAATCCAAGTAAGGGCTCCAAAAAGAAAAAGGAAAAAGGAAAAGCATTTTCTCACAGCATCCCAATTTTTTTTTTTTCATTCTAACTTGTGTCCTCTTTGCCACGTGACCTAAAGGCCAGCTTTGGTTAAAGGGCCACCAAGAAAAAACGACAACACCCAGAATTCTTAGCTCTGTATACTTTGCTTTTAGAAAAGAGACCAAAGAAGCAGCAAAATACGTTACACTGCGGTATCTGATGAGGGGAGTCTTTTGCTAGTTTATATAAATCTTAGGAAATTTCAATACTGTTTAATTCCTTATTATACAATCATTAAAAAAAACAATTTTTATCCTTTGTCTTGGAAAGCACCCAGATCATACAGCTTCTGTATGATACCAATACAGTATCATACAGATGTTTTAGCATTGACAGATGTATCTTGTGAGTTCTAAAATACAGATAGAATATCAAATTCAATATTACAAAGTATTTATATTATTAATAGAGATGCTGTTATACCAACATTTTAAGTAGTTAAAATACTTTTAATTACAGTGAATAGTAGTAATAACCTTTAATCTATTGTCACTCACAAGTGTTTTGCAAGGGTATATAATTAAGTAATTAACTCCTTTACTTTTCACCCGCTAATTTTTAAAAAAATTAAAAAATGGATTATTCTGTTCTTTTACAGCTTAAGATAAGAACAGTGCTATCATAGGCAGGAACACACGAAATGATGTGATTTTCAACTTCCCTCAATTATGCATCTTTCTTTCTTTTTCCATTCTGGTTAATTCTTGAGCACTTCTGAATTACTTTGTGAATTTCGCAACAAAAGAAATCTGCACGACAATTTTAATGGATGTTTTCATGGCACGTTTCTTCAAACCATTCGTTTTCAAACATAATTTTCCAAAAGCTTCCCTCTCCCTCCGATATAATACATACTTCCTTCTATAATTAATCTCTGAACTCCATCAGAACATTCTGAAAAATATTCCAAATCGTACAGGCTTAAGAGTGCAAATTGGGTAAATTTGGATAAAAAGTAATTTATTTTTATCCATCTTTGAAGTAGGTGAATGTAGGACTGTAACCTTAATATTTTCACCAATATTTACACAAGGCTTATTAATTTTTTTAAAAAAGGAAAGAGCCTCGTGATTGGTTTGCAAGTAGATTAAAAATTGCAGTAAGAATATGATTATAACTACATTCTCATTTTTTTTGGGATAATCTGCCCTCAAGTTGTTGTCATCTAAGATGCAGTGATCAGCCTTTGCTAAAAATGTTACAAAGAGGCTCAGCCTTACAAAGAACCTTTCTTCTTTCTGATACAACGATTTTCATATCCTTTCTTTGCTCGTGCCAGAGTGTCCCGAGATTATACTTCCACAGTTGGGTAGCAGAATGAAGAGGTGTTTTCAACAAATAAGAAGCAAAACGGCTCATTAAAATCTCTGATGTCATAACAGGTGGACAATCCTCTCAAAGCTACCCAGAGCTGGATCTGGTGAATATTTATTTAAATAATTTAAATAACCATCCATCTCCCAAAATGACTCTAGCAGCGTACAAGGTTTTCTTTTTTTAAAGGAAGAAATTTAATAATGCCTGAGCCCACCAATACAATCCAACTTGTAACAACATTAACTAACTTTCACCAGCAGACTCCACCTGTATTTCCTTAGGACAATAGCAGCAATAGCAGGGTATATAATTAAACTGAGCAGTTGAAAAAAAATATCCCAAAAGAAAGCAGATCCCCATATTAATGCTGAAAAAAAGAAGAGTTGTCAGTTCTTGTTGACAGGAACTGAGCTAAAATAATGAATATACTTTATACTGCATATTCCTAAAGTCTTTATTAGTAGCTCCAAAGCTCCCGAAGGCCAGACAAGGAATAATGGATGGAAAATGAACAGGGAGATATTCAACCTGGAAATAAGGAGAAACTTTCTGACAGTGAGAACAATCAACCAATGGAACAGAAGTGGCCTTCAGAAGTTGTGGGAGCACCATCACTTGAGACTTTCAAGAAGAGATTGGACTGCCATCTGTAAGAAATGGTGTAGGGTCTCCTGCTTGGGCAGGCAGGTTGGATTAGATGATCTACAAGGTCCCTTCCAACTCTGTTAAACTGTTAAACTATTTTAGTTTAGTTAACTATTTTGTTTTAGTTAAACTGTTTTAGAAATTCCACCACCTTCTGATGAAAGTATTTAGTGACACCAAATCCCTACAGTATTTTGAACAACATAAAACATGGGTGTTGTGATGACCCGGGGTGTGGCACAAAAGCAAATTGTCACAAAAGTAAGTAAAGTCCCTTTAATTCCTCCAACGTGGCCCCCAATGTCCAGTTATCATCAGCTGGAGGAAAAACTCTCCCAAGAACAGTTTTTAAAGGGAAGAAATTCAATCTGAACCCAAAGTACATCTAAATTATAAATAAAAACCAACACAAACCACGCTGCAGCAATTAACAAGACAGGGCAGGATAAGGAATTGCAGATTTCCAACAGATAATGAAACACACAGTTGGGAGGACCTCAGAACCCAGATAAGACTTGGGCAAAAAAAG